CAATAAGTTAGATTTGCTCCTGGTGCATGCTTGACTTCAACAGGGCTGCCCTTTGCAGCGGTTCTGTTTATAATTTTTATGGACAGAATTAATAGATACAGCTTAGGTCTGGTTCGGGACCACAGGATTCAATCTCTGCTATTTGCAGTTGATGTCATTCTGTTGACGTTATCAGACCGGGACCTTCAGCGACACTGGGGCAGTATGCTGCTGTGTGTGATGCAGCAGATATGAGAATCAGCAACTCCAAATCCGAGGTCATGATGCTTGACTGGTAAAGGTGGCTTGCCATTTCCAGGATGGAGGAGAGTCCTTATCTCGAATGTAGGAGTTCTCTTGGATTTGTTTATGAGCAAGAAAAGGATAGAGCGTGAGTTTGCTGGTGAATCAGTGCGGTGGCAGCAGCAATCGGTTCAGGATGCCTCCTGGATGTCTACCTAGGAAGGTGTTTTTGGGCTTGTCCCACCGGTGTAATACCCAGAGGATGACCCAAGACACTCTAGGTAGACTATGTCTCTCTACTTGCCTACGAAAGCCTCAGGATCCCCCTGGAGGAGCTGGAGTAGTATCTCAGGAGAGGGAAGTCTGGGTTTCTCTCCTGAGACTGCTGCCCCCACAACCCGGCCCTGGATAAGTGGCAGATCATGACATGACATTTTTTTCATCTGGGAAATATATGCTATACTGTTTGTGTTTGACTCTGAGTTGGTGCTGTGGTTTATCTTTGTGCAGAAAACAAAGAGAGAATCTGGCCTGAGAAAGCAAGAGCAGATCCTGACTATGAAATCATGGACAGCCGAACAGAGAGAAGCGCAGAGGTAACTTAATATTACTTAATAAATGCAGTCTAGTCTGTCTACAGTTAAACACGAGCCTAGAGTGCTGTTAACTGTTTAATACAACCTGCGGTAACACTTTATTTTGATGCTTCATTTGAGTATTAGTAGACTGTCTGCTTAATATCTACTGATTCTGCTCCTTTAACAGACATTTAACTGACTATAAAAAAACTTTGCAAGAATATGTCAACTTACCCTAACCCAAACCCAAACCCCAACCTAACAGTCTACTTATAATCTAATGAGAATTAGTTGGCTTGTAGATGCAGTGTACCTTAATCCAACAAACGGACCATCAAAATAAAGTGTGACCTAACCTGCCGTTTTAAACTAGCCATGAGCATGATGTGCCGTCATAAACTAGCTTTTTGTTTAAATCTAGCTTAGATTGTTGTCTGCAGCTGAAAACTAGCCAAGAGCACTCCATATACAGGTAAATACAAGACTAAAGCATCATCTTATATTACAAAACTAGCCTAGAGAGCCATCTACTGTTCAACACTAGCCTAGAGCGCCATCTGCTGTTAAAAATGAACCTAGAGCAGGAATCACCAAACTTGCTCCTGAAGGTCCGGTATCCTGCAGATTTTGGCTCCAACCCTAATCAAACACATCTGAACAAGCTAATCAAGCTCTTACAAGTTATACTTGAACACCCAGGCAGGTGTGTTGAGGCAAGTTGGAGCTAAACCCTGAAGGGCACCAGACCTCCACGAACAAGATTGGTGACCCCTGGCCTAGAGTATTATCTGCTACTAAAAACGAACCTAGAGCACCATCTGCAGTTATAAACTAGCCTAGAGCGGCATCTGCTACTATAAACTAGCCTAGAGCACCATCTGCAGTTATAAACTAGCCTAGAGCGGCATCTGCTACTATAAACTAGCCTAGAGCGGCATCTGCTACTATAAACTAGCCTAGAGCACCATCTGCAGTTATAAACTAGCCTAGAGCGGCATCTGCTACTATAAACTAGCCTAGAGCACCATCTGCAGTTATAAACTAGCCTAGAGCGGCATCTGCTACTATAAACTAGCCTAGAGCACCATCTGCAGTTATAAACTAGCCTAGAGCGCCATCTGCTACTATAAACTAGCCTAGAGCGCCATCTGCTACTATAAACTAGGCTAGAGCGGCATCTGCTACTATAAACTATTGTAGAGCACCATCTGCAGTTATAAACTAGCCTAGAGCGGCATCTGCTGCTATAAACTAGCCTAGAGCACCATCTGCAGTTATAAACTAGCCTAGAGCGGCATCTGCTGCTATAAACTAGCCTAGAGCGCCATCTGCAGTTATAAACTAGCCTAGAGCGGCATCTGCTACTATAAACTAGCCTAGAGCACCATCTGCAGTTATAAACTAGCCTAGAACGGCATCTGCTGCTATAAACTAGCCTAGAGCACCATCTGCAGTTATAAACTAGCCTAGAGCGGCATCTGCTGCTATAAACTAGCCTAGAGCACCATCTGCAGTTACAAACTAGCCTAGAGCGGCATCTGCTGCTATAAACTAGCCTAGAGCACCATCTGCAGTTATAAACTAGCCTAGAGCGGCATCTGCTGCTATAAACTAGCCTAGAGCACCATCTGCAGTTACAAACTAGCCTAGAGCGGCATCTGCTGCTATAAACTAGCCTAGAGCACCATCTGCAGTTATAAACTAGCCTAGAGCGGCATCTGCTACTATAAACTAGCCTAGAGCACCATCTGCAGTTATAAACCAGCCTAGAGCACCATCTGCAGTTATAAACTAGCCTAGAGCGGCATCTGCTGCTATAAACTAGCCTAGAGCGCCATCTGCTACTATAAACTAGCCTAGAGCGCCATCTGCAGTTATAAACTAGCCTAGAGCGGCATCTGCTACTATAAACTAGCCTAGAGCACCATCTGCAGTTATAAACTAGCCTAGAGCGGCATCTGCTGCTATAAACTAGCCTAGAGCGCCATCTGCAGTTATAAACTAGCCTAGAGCGCCATCTGCAGTTATAAACTAGCCTAGAGCGGCATCTGCTACTATAAACTAGCCTAGAGCGCCATCTGCTAATATAAACTAACCTAGAGCGCCATCTGCACTTATAAACTAGCCTAGAGCGCCATCTGCTACTATAAACTAGCCTAGAGCGGCATCTGCTGCTATAAACTAGCCTAGAGCATCATCTGCTGTTAAAAACTATTGTAGAGCGCTGTCTATTGTTAAAAACTAGCCTAGAGTGCCGTCTGCAGAAACTATTTTACAAATCCCAATGCATCCGTTTATCACCACAGCCCATAATGGTTGATCAGATGGTTAGCATGTTTCATCATGCTGCATGCTAGACAAATCAATTCAGTAATTAGTTAGAAACAGTTTTTCTTTTCCCGTTGAAAGCTTGATTCTGTCTGTATAAGCAGATAATGCCGAGCTCTCAGACTGAGCCTGTGCAGACAGGTCACAGGTGAAACCGGTGTCAACACGCCACATTTTAAGCAGGATTCAGACTAACTAAGGTGTGTTTTCTGTGTTTCAGTCAGACGAGTGGAGCAGGTATGATCTGCTGTCAACTGCTGCTGGATCTCAGAGGAGTTTCCATCCTGCGACTGATGGTAAACTAGTGTGTGTGTCTCTGTGTGTGTGTGTGTGTGTGTGTGTGTGTGTGTGTGTGTGTGTGTGTGTGTGTGTATGTGTGTGTGTGTGTGTGTGTGTGTGTGTGTGTGTGTGTGTGTGTGTATGTGTGTGTGTGTGTGTGTGTGTGTGTTGTGCATCTGATTGCTGTTTCAGCTAGTGTAAGTGCGCGTTTGTGTGTTTCCAGCAGAGGGTTCAGACAGACTGAGGGATGCAGTGACGTATGTGAATATTCCCATTAGCCCCTCATGCAGAAAACAGCTGAACTACATGATGGATCTGGAGCTGCAGGAGTCGAGCACTGCTGCCACTTTCAGAGGTGTTGAAAAACAACAATAACAACATACACTTAAAATGGGAAAAAAGTAGAGTAAAAAGTACATTAAAAAGCATAGTATAGTGAATAAAGAGTATAGTATGTTTAAATATAGTATAGTGAATATAAAGTATAGTATATTTAAATATAGTATAGTGAATATAGAGTTTAGTGTATTTATATGTATAGTTTAGTGAATAAAGAGTAGTGTAATTATATACTATATTTATATATAGAGTATAGTATATTTAAATATAGTATAGTGAATAAAGAGTATAGTATATTTAAATATAGTATAGTGAATAAAGAGTATAGTATGTTTAAATATAGTATAGTGAATATAAAGTATAGTATATTTATATATAGTATAGTGAATCTAGAGTATAGTATATTTAAATAGAGTATAGTTAATATAGAGTATAGTATATTTAAATATAGTGTAATAGATATAGAGTATAGTATATTTAAATATAGTGTAATAGATATAGAGTATAGTATATTTAAATATAGTGTAATAGATATAGAGTATAGTATATTTAAATAGAGTATAGTGAATATAGAGTATAGTATATTTATATATAGTATAGTGAATATAGAGTATAGTATATTTAAATAGAGTATAGTGAATATAGAGTATAGTATATTTATATATAGTATAGTGAATATAGAGTATAGTATATTTAAATAGAGTATAGTGAATATAGAGTGTAGTATATTTCAAGATAGTATAGTGAATATGGAGTAAAGAATATTTATAGTAAAGTGAATATAGAGTATAGTATATTTAAATATAGTATAGTGAATATAGAGTATACTGTATTTAAATATAGTAGAATATTTTAAATATAGAGTATAGTGTTGCGTTGGCTCTGTGTTGTTGATGTTGGGTTTGTTCTGCAGGGAGAAATTGCAGTAAATATGCTCAGATCGACATCAGTGCGACGGAAGCGGCTCACAGAGCGGGTTCCCAGCATGCACTGGGGCGAGAGGAAGGCCTGCAGAGACTGGAGCAGCACAGAAGAAGTAGAAGAAAGAAAGAGGAGTGAACACAGAGAGTGAAGAAGAAACACTGAAACACTGACCAAAGCACATACACACCAACATAAACAACCAAATATAAATACACACAAATACATGAATGCAATCATACACACACACACACATATAAACACAAACACAGACACATTCGCACACTCTGCATGAATACGTCATGTTGAGATGATTACAGAACTTCCAGAGAAATTTGTGAAATGCACAAAACAAGAAATGCCTTGTTCTCTGTTACACGGATTCCCTTTTAATATTTTAGTATTACTCCTCATTCTGTTTACTTGCCTCTATTATATCTGCTGCTTTTCTAAACGAGAGAGCACAGAGTCATGTGAAGATATCCATTTGACAGCAAACCACTGATTTTGGATTCAGTTTGGAGTCAGCGCTCGTGTCTTTTGCTGCTGCTGTTTGCTGTTTTTATATATTTAGATATATTTAACTCTATTTTTACTGCGGTTATATCCTCATATATTGTGTTTGCAGTTTTACTGTCAAATAATAAACATCTTATACTGCTGCCGCTTACTGTACATGTTACATTGGGTATATTAAATGTACATTATAATTATTTTATAGTTATATTATAGTTGTATTTAAAAAAAAGGCATTATCCTCACAAAAAATACTGTTTATTATAGAAATCATAGTAAATAATTTTGTGTTTTTAAGTTATACTATAGTAAAGTGTGGCGGCATGGTGGCTCAGTGGTTAGCACTGTCGCCTCACAGCAAAAAGGTTGCTGGTTCGAGTCTCGGCTGGGTCAGTTGGTGTTTCTGTGTGGAGTTTGTATGTTCTCCCTGTGTTGGCGTGGGTTTGCTCCGGGTGCTCCGGTTTCCCCCACAGTCTAAACACATGCGCTATAGGGGAATTGATGAACTAAACTGGCCGTTGTGTATGAATGTGTGAATGAGTGTGTATGAGTGTTTCCCAGTGATGGGTTGCTGCTGGAAGGGCATACACTGTGTAAGACATGCTGTAATAGTTAGCGGTTCATTCCACTGTGGCAACCACTGATAATTAAAGGGACTAAGCCAAACGAAAAATGAATGAGTACTGATTGTAATAAATACTGTAGTATACTTTAGTTTTACTATAGTGAACTGGTGCGTTGTATAAACCCTTTTTGTGTATAAACTACAGTATTGGGTCGTTTGTTTAAATTGTTGTATTACCATAGCAACTGTAGAATTGCCACAACAGATCAATTACTGTAGTTGTTGTGTTACCATAGCGACTGTAGAATCACCACAACAGATCAATCCCTGTAGTTGTTGTGTTACCATAGCGACTGTAGAATCACCACAACAGATCAATCCCTGTAGTTGTTGTGTTACCATAGCGACTGTAGAATCACCACAACAGATTGAGTATTTTACCGTAGAAAGGTTCTAAAACACTTGTTTGTACTATAAATTACTATAGTATTTTTTTTTACTTTACATGGGGAGTTATTATAACAAAGTTAATGTAATGAAGTGTATCTAGAATTTGATGTTTTTAGATATTTTAAATCCTAAAATCACATGTTTACAGCTGGATTTGCGCATCCTTATTACATTATATGAGTAACGAATAACATTTATTGTGATGCCGCGGTCACCATACTCATCAAGCTGGATTTATATAGTGAGCATCTGTGAAACTATAAACAATTATTAGCACAGGTAAAATGTGAAATTTAAGATGTTGTATGGACTTTTTGATGTTATGCTACGACTGCTCCACCAGGCGGCGCCAGAACACAGCAGCAGCAGTTTACTGAGACTTGTTTTGGATATTTTGGGATTTTCTTCCTAGATCTAGTTTCTCAGACCCCAAACTAAAGTACGAATGTAAATAAATGAACATCAGTTGTAGCCTCGGCTATAAGCTTACTTTATTTGAACATGCTTCCCGGAAAAAGTCTTAATTACCATGGTAAAATGTCAGTAACGGATGACCTTTGGTGTTTTGTTCTTGAATATTGTAAATAAGTTACCACATTTGGTCTTTAACATAATACTAAACATTAAGTCTTATAATTACTTCCTGCAAATAATAATAATAACAATAATGATTATAACAATAATGTAATAAAGAAGTGTTTTATTATCTGAAGCTCCTGTACACTGTACAATCAAATATTATCAAGCAAAAATCAGTTTTTTTAGTGTTTTGATTTCGTTTGTTAATTGATTCAATTTATGCATTTTCAGTGAAACAAATAATAATAATAAAATGCAGTTGCTAATATAGGTGCTAAAATAGGCTATTCTTCACATTCATTACAGTAATCGGAATAATGCTGTATAAAAGTCTTTAATAAGCTCGCTTATGCTTTATAGTGTATCATCCCCTATTAATATTACAAACTTACAAATTCGAAAAACTGATAGTAACAATGATAATTAACAGAGCATGTTAAATTGAATTATAAATACATTTAAAACTGTAAAAAAGGAAGAAAAAAATTAACAAATCCTCCTTGTTAAAATGTCGCGATGTTTCGCTGAGTGTAGTACAGCTTCTCTGATTGGCTAACGCAAGATTCGGTTATGCTAATATGTCGAATTGTTTATTTCTAGCAGTCTGTGGACAGAAATGTGTAAAATGATAGTGAAAATAATAACTTTTGCGCACAGTATAATCCCAACAAACACACAACGTTGCCCCATTGCACAAACCTTGCAAAAAGGAGGGTTTTACGTTGCTGCAGCGATGTCACAATGTTGCCATGCTAACATCACGAGGGCCGTTATTGCTTTAAGATTGAGGTTTGCACATTTAAAAATGTTTTCGCACATTCCTCCATTTAGCATTCCCTATATTATCTACTAGGCTAATTTGAATAAAGGGTCCGAAATCACAAATAAATATGACTTGAAAACAACATTAGCACTATTTAATTGACTGAACTATGTTGCACTTTGATATTCATTGGCTGCTAATATGGTTACACTATTTAGAGTTTGCAGATAATACTATTTTGAAGTGATATTGTTAAGAAGAAAGTCGAATGTGCGAATATAAAACCAACTTTACCTCAGTTTCTGAAAGTTGTGCTTATAGTGGTGTGGACGACCACTGTACAACGTTTGACCACTCATCACTGAATCAGTTTAAATGTCAACAGACCGTTGGGCGTCTCATTCATCAACGACCGAGGAGACGTGAGTACTGCTTTATTTCTTCTTGCTAAATAAGATATGTGAATATTCAAACAAACCTACACTTTCTGTTTCACAAGGCAAGATATCTGTTCCAACTTTAACGTACATAAAAAATAATGAGACATAGTGAAATTAATATGAGCGACTTAAAATTTCAGCACTCAGAATCGTTATAAATCTCTCGATTAAACATTTCCTGATCATTTACATTCTCCTTTATCTTTAGTCGAATAGATAATAATGTCTTTCAGTTCAGTTTTTCCCATATCCATCGTGATCAGTCATTTATACGTCACGGAGGTCATCACACGACCCCAGCCGACCCACTGTTTACAAACACACGAGCTGACTTTTATACCAAACACCGCCGTGCGTTTGCGCCCCGTTAAAGGGACAGTTCACTCACAAATTAAAATGTACTCACGATTTCCAAACCTTTCCAAACCTAAAGTTTCTTTATTCTGCTGAACACTGAAGACAGTCTTTAAAGAAGTAATCTGAAAACTGTAACCATTTGCTTCCATAGTAGGACAGAAGTCACGGTTTTCCAGCTTTATTCACTGAATCTTCTTTGTTTTTCAACAGAAAAAAAAGCCAAATAAGTTTGTTATAAGTAAAGGATGAGGCTAAATAGTGATAGAATTGTCCATTAAAGTGTATGAGTTGATATTAATATGCTAATATGCATATTAATTATGCTAATGTGCATATTAATTAAAAGATTAAGTCTAGTCTAATTGCTATAGGGTATATGCCGAGCTAGTGTTGTTCCCATACTGATAAACATCAGGTGACCTGTTATTGTGAATTTTTTTCCATTTTATACGGTTCCTTTTACAGCATCAATGCTGTAATGTCATTAAAATACATTCAGTTAAACAGACTTTGGCATTTATTTAGTTGCTCAAGCGTAAAACAAGACAAAAAGCTGTTTACTCCCACGCACCCGTCAGAATCGGCAGGATAGCGCAGAAGCTCCATTGAATATACTGGGGTAAAATAAATACTTATACAAAGACCAGGGGGGTGGGGGGGATATAGTTTAGTGCAGTGCTTCTTGTACAATCGGAGACCCTCTTTATATCAGATATCCCTCAGCCAGTTTAGATCACTGATTTTTAATGAAAACTGACCTTAAAACTCGCCAATTTTTGCATTGGCATACAGTTCACCGGAAACGCTTAACCCAGACTACTGGCAAATTCAAAGTCCTATTAGCATACTTCAGCATATACCCTATTATATTTATACTCTTCATGGATAGAAATGATTGGTATTCTTCGCTAATATGCCTTTGGGATCTGTGCTAGCTGGTTTAGCACAATAGCAAGGTAGGTTTGTTTAGTTTGTACAGACTCTTGAGTTCGATGTGAATTCTAACTGTGTTTATTGACGTAATAATGTTCTCTCTACAGGTAATGTGATGCTCGGAGGGTTTATAACATCTAAACCAGATTAGGCTACATTTTAAAATGCTCATAATCTGGTTACATTCGAAGTAATGACGGTCTGTTGATGTAATGATTTGTGTGTGTGTGTGTGTGTGTGTGTGTGTGTGTAGTATATATATATATATATATATATATATATATATATATATATATATATATTTATACAACAGTTCTGTATGATTCTCAAATCTTATTGGCTGATAGCCGTGTGATATTCTGTAATATCAGCAGCCGTCCAGCCCAGGGGCGGACTGGCCATCTGGCAATTCTGGCAAATGCCATATGGGCCGGACCAATTTTGAATTTGGGCCGGTCAGTTTTTTTTTTTTAAATATGTATTGTTTTTAAGTGCAGACAACTTTTATCTCTTGCTAGATGTGATATGATGATCATAATAATAATTCTAATAATAATAATAGTAATAATAATAATAAATGTTAAGCAATTGGCCCAATCAGCAACTGCCGCCTGGTTTCAAGATGGGCCGACCCAATCCGAGGTTACCCGGACATAATCAAAATCTGGCAAGAATGTCATATTATTTCACCATCTGTACACCAAAATAAAAAAGTGAATGTGCGTGTCTGTGGGTGGGGCTGTGTCACTGTGGTAATGTGGGCTGGTGTGGCTACAGTGCCAGGGCTGAATTTTTGTCCCAGTCCGCCCCCTGGTCAG